ATCTTTAGGGGAGATCCGTTTGATCTGAGCCAGGTTTTAAGAAGCAGGAAAACCTCTGAAACCTCTAAAAACCTGCAGGACAGCAGCCCAAACAGGCCCAAAGAAGTCTAGAGAGTCCCAAAGAGGCCTGGAATTGCCTCCCCTACCTTTGTGCTCCAGAGGCTTTTGCTCCTGTGTAACGCTGTCTCTCCCGTTGCCCCCCCCCCAGCCCTGGCCCAGCGTGTCCAACCTGGCCAAAGACTTTGTGGAGCGGATCCTGACGGTGGACCCGGGCGAGCGGCTGTCAGCGGGCCAGGCCCTCAAGCACCCCTGGATCGTCAGCATGGCGGCCTCGTCCTCCATGAAGAACCTGCAGCGCAGCATCTCCCAGAACCTCCGCAAGCGGGCCTCCTCCCGCTCCTACAGCACCAAGTCGGCCCAGTCCACCCGCTCCAGCCGCTCCACCAAGTCCAACAAGGCCCGCCGGGTCCGCGAGAAGGAGCTGCGCGAGCTCAACCGCCGCTACCAGCAGCAGTACAACGGCTGAGGGCGGCCGCCCCGCCGGCCTGGACCGGCTGGGCCTGGACCGGCTGGGCCTGGACCGGCCAGGCCTGATCCACCTGGGCCTGATCCACCTGGGCCTGATCCACTTGGGCCTGATCCACCTGGGCCTGATCCACTTGGGCCTGGTCCACCTGGGCGTGGTCCGGCTCGGTCCTGCCTGGCCTGGACTGGCTTGGCTTGGCTCAGTCCTTCTGGGTCTGGCACGGTTTGGCTCAGTCCGGCCCGGTTCAGCTCCCTCTGGCCCGGTTCTGTTCCCTCTGGCCCGGTTCGGCTCAGTCTGGCCCGGTTCTGCTCGGCCCGGCCAGCGTCTGCAGCCCTCCTCCTTCAGAAACACTCTGAAGTCGTGGCTCTAAAAGCATGAACGCTGCCTTGGCTGTGGGGGGGGGGGCTCCTGGCGCCTGGGCCCAGGCTGTACCCCCTCCACCTCCTCCCACTTCCTCCCTCTCTCCCCCCTCTCCATCCCCGGGTGGCTCCATATTTATTTATTATTGTCTGTGCTCAGGTGGTCGCTGGACTATGACCCAACTGGAGGACCTGTTGAGCAGAGTTCTGGACGCTGAGCTTTTCTTTGGACAGGAGGGACTCCTACACGTCATTTCTTACTCAAAGTGCTGTGAATTGTTGTGGTTCTGTTGGAGGGCGCCGCCTGGGGGGGGGGGGCAGCTGCTCCCCACCCGTCAGAAGATTGTGAAGCTTCGTGTCATTGGACTGGCAGCGTTTCCCCTCAGAAGCTGTCGGTCGCCATAAATCTGCTCTCCCTTCTCCGCCTAGCAGCATGTTTCAGGCCACGCAGGCAGCTGAGCCGGGGGTCGGACAGTCGGCAGCTTCAGCCTGAAAACGGCCCCTTTCTGTCACCATGTTGCTGCGTTCAGCCCCCCCGAGCTCCTGCCGGGGCTCCCTGGGTCTTCCTGGTCCTCCCTGGTCCTCTCTGGGCTTCTTTAGGTCTCTGTGGGTCTCTCTGGTCCTCTCTGGTTCTCTCCAGGCCCCCCTGCAGGCTTTTAACCCACCGATTGGCATCAGAAGTCCATTCAGCAGATCTGTGCTCAGCCGAACCGCTTCTGGACGTCCAGTTGGTCCAGAACGGGGTTTGCAGGAGCTGGAAAATCTCTGAAACCTGCAGGACGGTGCCCCAAAGGTCAGCGGACTGCGGCAGGCCGGCTCGTCCCCAAAGGAAGAGACAGGAGACGTCCAGAGACGGGAGACGTCCAGAGACAGGAGACGTCCAGAGACAGAAGATGTCCAGCCCCAGGTCAGAAAGCAGCAGGCGTCCAGTCGGAGGCGGATCAGGATGAAAAACATCCTGAACCCAGAGGAGCCAGCACGTCCCGGTGGGGGAACAGGAGCCACTGGGGGGTAAACGAGGGATCACGGCTCTGTGGGCAAAGCCCCCACTTCTGCCTCCCATATTGGCTCTGTGGTGGAAAACAAACAGGATGTTCAGACTCCCCCCCCCCCCCCCCAAGAGGAGCTCGGCCCTTTTAGAGCATTTAGCTCTAAAAGGGCCGGTTGCTTTCTTTTGCCTTTTGATAAGAAGCCATGAAGTCTGATCTCTGGTGGGAAAAATACCTTTAAGTCACTTTTGATGGAATTTTTAAAAATCTTTTTTGGGGTCCAGAAGTTGGAAAAAGGGGCCTGAAGGATGTAGAAAAAGCTGGCTCAGTGACTCGTGGGTTTTTACCAGACAGTCCTGTAGATGTTGTGATGTAGCCCGTGAAGGAAGCTCTGCTCTGCTTTTAACCACCATCTGACTGGAAGTTTCTCTCTTTTGATGCACTTTTTGTGTCCCGACTCCGAAGCTTCGCGGGGAAAAGCCAGAAGGAGCCCCGTTGATTCTGCTGTCCACGTCTGACAAACCACAACACGAGCGAACGCAAGATGAATTCCCTGAAATCGGTTTTCCACAAGTTGCACAATTTTAGGATTATTTGTCCTTTTTTTCTTCTTTTTTTTGAGTTTGATCTCTGTCAAAGCACTTCATGTACAGTTTCATCAGATTTTCTTGGTTTTTTAACAGTTTGTTTTATGTTTTTTTCCGTGTTTTCGTGTGTTTTTGTCCCTCCAGAACATTTCCAGAGTAAATTACATGGCACAGAGTGACGTTTCCTCCTTTGCTTTTTAAAGATTTTGCTGTGATGTTGCCCAGAGTTGGAAAGTTTTCCAAATTTGGGAGCTTTTTGACCAACTGGAGCCTTATCGAGCCAGGTCAGACGACCTCAGTTTTTCCTTTTTTATTGTCTCTTTGCTTTCCCTCCATCCGGGATGATTTTCCACCTCTCTGATGTGACTGTTTTCCCTCCGTTTCTCTGACTTACTGCTGTTGTTTTCGACGATACTTCACCCCCTGGGGATGTTTTTGTCTTCCTTATATAAGACCTCATGTGAGACCTTCAGTAAATGTTGTATCGGTGCCCTCAAATCTCTGCTTTCATTATCAAACGCAGGACTTGGGGTACATTTAAAATATATAGAGATGTGTGTTTTCCACTGAGAACGCAGCTGTGGTCATTTTAAATGACAGATTTTGTGTGAAGGACTTTTTTTTTTAAGTCGTCATACTTTCTGCCAAGTTTATTTTTTTTCTTTTTTTTTATTCGTATTTCATTTATGTGAAATAATCCTGTTTTTTAAATGTTACAAATCAGAGTTACAATAGATGAAGGCTGATGTTGGACTGATGACCGGGGGCACAGCAGAATGTGTCCACCGCTCCTCTCTGTGATTTCAATGTAAATGCTGGTTTAAATGAAGTAGCTATTTCAACACTGTTAGCTCCAAACAGCTCATCTGGTGTTTAAAAATGTCTGATAACACTTTGATTTCTCCTCCATTAACTTTTTATGAAATGTTTTGAAACGGTGAGAATAAAGCACCCGAACCTCGACCTCTGCTTCCTCCCATTTTCTGTCTGTCCACGCGTTTGAAATCCTTTTCGCTGTTTATCTGTTGGCCCAGTTTAAATGAGGTGTCTTCAGCTAAAAAAGTTAGTTACTGTAAAATTAAGTTTCAGTTTTTCAGTCAGATGGATTTAAAATACACTTTTTGTCTTCCTGCTTTTGAGCATAAAAACTAAATCGATAAACTCAACCTCTTTGCTTAAAACTCTGCATGAAACATCCTGCTGTGGAAGCTCTCATCCGAACGTGAGAGTATCTTTTTATTTATAGGGAAAGCTGGCAGATGTTTTAAGGACTCTGAGATCTGCCCAGTTTTCAGCCAGCAGCTCTTTGGGAATCCTCAGAAATCCTGGTTCCTGTCTGTCAGACTGGGTTTTCTTTGGAGTTTTGCTTAAACTGTGTTCGAAATTAGCCGTTTTAGTCTGATCAACAGCCCAGTCGGAATAAAAACATTAATGTTGTAATCAGACTGTGCAAAAGGTTTGAGACGATAAACTGTAAAATATCCACTGTAAAATAAACTGTAAAATATCCACTCTGTGGAGGTAGTGAACACTTTTTCCTAGAAATCCAAGTGAACTTCTTATCTAAATCGATGTAACAAACGAGGAATAGATTACTCATTTTTACTGTTGGTTATAATAACTTCAGATTGGCAGCCAGGTCCACTTTTTACATTTCAAAAACAGATTTAATCTAAAGTTTGCAGTATGTTCATTACTCTTTTAAAATGTAAACTTGGGTAAGAAAAACTTGTTTGAATATGTAAACATAAGAATAAGAATGATTATTAAATATGTGTCCATATAACATAGCTAAAGATACCATTTTAAATGGGGTTTTTCCAAAGTTCTGTGTAAGGAATAGATGACACTGCCTCATCCCTTGAGTTAGGGGCCTTTTGTGCTGGAATAAGTCACACACCAGTGTTGTGCGATTTAAGAATAAAGACTGAAAAAAAAAAATACTTATTTTGTTCGGATAAAAGGATTTCGCTGAAAACAAGTAATGGCAGATACCAAGAAAAACCTTCAGAAAGTTGTATTACTGTTGCTCAAGGACATGAGGAAAGATCACAATAGACCTTTGTTGCTTGGAATTAAAACAGAAATCTGAGGAGCGTTCAAGAATTTCTAAGTGAATAAAGCTGAAAACTGATGCCCAAAAATAAGTCCAGTGTTGTTTCATTTTAAAAATTAAAATAGGCAAAGTGTAGAGGATCTATTGAGATTTATTTTGGGGTGAAACTGGTTTGTTTGGGCTTTGACAAACGGGCTAAACAGCGCCCACTACCGGCAGAAATGCGACCTGGCTCCAGAGGCTCCAAGGCTGAAGAAGCAGATGGAGCCCACTGCGTTGCCAGGTTTGACAAAAGCTCCACACACCATCATTACTGGATCTATTTAACAGAAAATAATTATGTTATCAACGATCATTTCCTTAAGTACTTTCTAATTAACTATATGAAGAAACAGACGGGAACTTGTTTACTTTGTCTTCCTTTGTGCGTACGGGAGCCGGTGCCTGCGGATTTATGGCGCGGAGGTAGCACAACCTGGCAACCCGTTGAAGCCAAACGTCAGTGTTCTGCGGCTGAACCGTTTAGTGACTTTGCTGCTAGCTTTTGTTCGCTGCGCGTCAAAACTCGCACCTAACAGCTAAAAATACTCCAGTAGGCGGACATTAAGTGACCCAAACCAGCGGATAAATGTGACACCTCGGCTGTTGTTGACCACGGTGAGTACTGAGAGCTCACACACCAGAGGAAAGCCCTGCGCTGGGGCTCTAAGCTAGCGGCTAACGCTAGCCATGTGATCAACTATGGGCTAAAAATCTGTTAGCATGGCTGTTTGTTTACAAAAGCAAATAGACAAAAGGCACCCCAGACCATGTTAGGTTTCCCCGCACTTATCTTTACGGTTTAGAAATCACAACCGTCCTCTTAGATATGGATCTCTTGCACCATATGTGTCAGTTTTCATGCTGGGGGGGCGCTTGTTTTGTTAGTTAGCTTAGTTTACTAACTAATTAACCTTTTTTTTGTTCCTTTCGCTGCACAATGTAAACTAAAGGCATGTGTGTGCTTTATTTATGTTAGATTTGAGATAATCTCTGCATAGTATTGACATAAGAATGCTTTAAATCTGCTCTGCACTGGGAAATTGGAAAACGTTTACCTTCCTTTTCTTTGTGACATTTTATTAACCATCTGTACTTTCTGTCGAGTTTCACCACATTTCACTGATCTCTCCTCTTTTTTTGTTGTTGTCTGGTTTAATTAGAGTTATTTCTTCTGTTTTTTTTCACCGTTGCCTGAAAATTTGACCGGTTTTTGTGAGTAGGCGTCATGTTGACACAAGTGGACCCAGCCCAAACCAGAGCGGCTGTTTGGCAGCCGGGGGCCGGCGGCCCTGCTGTCCTCTCTCCCAGCCAAAGATCCTGATCCCAGCCGGAACTGGTGTCTGATCCTCCTCCACACTGAGTAAACCAGCCAGGAGCTTTTAATGACACCGTCTTCACCCTTAGCACCTATGCAGAGGCCTATCTGAAGCAGGTATCTGCTGTGTGATTAAGACCAAGCGGAGGTGGGCCCACACGCAGGCTGTGAAAGGGAGGAGGCCGGCTCTGTGTAACCACACATCTGTATGAGCACAATGGCTTTTTATGGCCTCAAAAAGGCGGCTTTTGTGCTATTTTAGCAAAGCTAAGTAACACAGTGCCTCTAAGTGAACAGATTTTCTCCGTTTGTGGTCTGAGGCAGGTTTGCTGGCAGCCATCACTGACTGTTTACTGAGATTAGCTGCTGGCTTCATGGCCATCATTCTCCCAACAACGAAGAAATACTGATTAGGCTTTTTACTTTGACTGGATTCAGGTCAATTAAGTATCCTGCTGGGTTACTGTGATTGGAGAAAACAGTCGCGGTGGTGGACATCCACAAGACGGCAGAGCTTGACAAATAAAGTGTTAACAGAAACCGTGGTTTCATTCAGCTTTTGGGGGATTCTGAATGATTCAAAATGCCCAAAAAGATCTGTATAACAAAGCTGTTTCTATGATATCAGAAAGGAGAAAACAATCAGGATGCACGGTGTATTTACAGGTCAGGGCTTTCCGTCATTGGCTCCTGAGGTGGTTCATGACCAAAAAGCTGGTTTCTTGCTGTCTCTTAAGTTGGACTAAGACGAGCTGCCGGTTCCATGTGGGAGAAGATTGAGATCAGCTGGCTTCACTGAGCTTTGTCTGCTCACTGGTCTCTGAGTCTGTGCGTTACTGGTTTGGGTTTAGGTGATCAGGCTGCACACTCACTTTCTTCTTCTCCCTCATGATGAAAAGGCTTTCTAAAATGACACTTAAACAGCGTTTACAGTGGCCTCCACAGAAGAAAGGAGAGGGTAGAGATATAACCTTTTGTTTAAGCGACACAGTAATTAGCAGCGAGTGTGACGCGTCGCCTCGGAAGACGCTGAACAGAACTCAGACCCGTTTACACGCCACTTAGCCGGGTCCATCTACGTCTGCCTGCTTCTGCCCTTCAATCCACGTGTTTTAGCCTCTGTTTCAGTTTATCCAGCTCTGCCGGCCGCAGCTCAGCCGCGTTTCTGCTGAATCTTTGTGGTTTTAAAGCAGCTCAGCGTCATATTAGCCGGTCGGACTGGGCGCTATCTGGTGCAGAACAAAGCTGTTCCCTGAGGGCTGCACACACTCTGTAATGGGTGAAAGGAGGAGTGGTTGCCTCCCTTCCTTCCCTCTGGCACGGCAGAGGAAGCACTCCTGTTTCGGGCCGGTGTGCAGACGTCCAACACATGAGGGCTTCTGCTTCGACAGGCTTATGACCGGAGGCCAAAGGGGGCGGCTGAGTAGATTAGGCCTTCTGGATGAATCTGTCTTATCTGTATTCCTCATGTGTTTGCAGATTATTATCCAGGAGTCGCGGAGCAGTAAAACGGGGCAGCGGTTTATCGTCTGGAGGAGCTGGTGGGGGCTCCTCAACCAGTCTGCCGTTCAGCCTCCTTTAAAAAACAAAAGCTTCGGCCTTTTTTAAAGGACTGGGTGCACATTAAAGAGTCGGAGCAGCTTTTGGGGACGATGATACGCTTTGGTAACTCTGCCCTGCAGAGTGTGTGTTAGCTGTGTGTTGCCTCTCTGGTTTTCACGCCTCCTCCTCATGCATGCGGGTCCGCGCGGCAGATGCTTGTTTTGCCTGTTTGGTGGATTTGTTCGTTGCCCCTTTTTGGGTTTTGGGGACCTAGATTTGTATTCTGAGCTGCTAAATGTGGGAGAACGGCTCTCTTTGTATGAAATCGCCTGGATCATCCCTAAAAATGAAACATTTTCCTGTATATGAAGCTCTAGAAATCAAATGTAGAGTATTAGGAGGAAGTGGACGTGACTACAGATGAATAATAACTGATTTTTGTTACATTATAAGCTCTTTTACACCAGCTGTAATGAGGTGAGACACTTTTTCATATAGAGATGAATCAAAGCTTGATGTGTATATTGGATTAAAAACACTTAGCTTTTTTGGTTGTTCGAACTAGTTGGAGACAGTCATTTTACGGTACCCTTAAGGGACATTTAATGCATTTGAAGGTGCCGTTTAGTGTCCTGATGCCTCGAGGACCAGGGTTTTGAAACACTGCGTTAAGGTCCACTTTGCTTTCGTGAGACACCAGAGGAAAGCCAGGTGTCCCCCATTCGTTTGGAATATTTTCTCTGCGAGCTGCCTCTAAACTGCATCTTTTCCATTTACTAGTGGCATAAATAACGCGGAGTCAGAACCATAATTAAGGTAGTTTTAATATTTAAATTTCTGTAAGTAAGCCTGCATTGAATTTGGTTTAAACAGCCCAATTCCATGTGACTCTGTGAAGAATAATGTGGTTTTTCTTAGAAGAAAAAGGAAGAAAGAAGCAGATGTATAAGGGTGTGGGGTGGGAGCCGTTTTCCTGGGAGCGCCAGCTTTGCTCATGGACTTGTTTTTCTCGTTTCCTTGCAGATAAAAACAGAAGGGACAGCTTCCGTGCTCCTGCCGCCGCCGCCTTTCCCCGCCGCCTTTCCTCGCCGCCTGCCTCCACGCTCCATGTCTGCCTGCCTCCTCTGGTCATAACCATGGCGACGGTGATCCTGCTCCGGCCGTGTCGCTGAGCCGCCGCCGCCCCGCCGCCGCCGCACCATGGAGAGGAAACGCCGAAAGAAATCCGTCTAGCTCCCCGGCCTTTCGCAAAATGGACTCGTATCTGGAGCTGTGGACCTGAGCCTCCAGCAGGTGTTCGCCGCCCACAGTTTGCTTCCCAGCCCGACATGCTGCCGTTTCCCGTGTTGGCCTCCGTGCTCCTGGGGCTGCTGGCCGGCCTCCTGCCCGGTGCGGGGACGCAGCCGGAGCCGGGGGCCAGAGGCAGCCCCCCCCCCGCCAGTGGGGAGCCCCTCCCCCCGCAACCGGACGCCAACTGCTCCCAGCTCACCCTCAAACTGGAGTTCTCCTCCGAGGTGGTGGAACATGGTAGGAAGTCACCGTCCTTAAACCTGTTTTCAAAGCTCCAGAAACACCAAAAACAAACCAAAAATAACTGGTTACCTGTAAGAAGCAGAGAATGGTCGGCTGGTTGCTGGTTTGAATCCTTCCTGGGTCACATGTCACAGCCCACGTTTCTCCTGAAGTGAGATAAAACATCTGGTAGACGGGTGAATGTCAAACATCTGGAAGGGACCCTAAAAGCAGCATTTCCTGTTTAAAATCCACATGAAGCTGCTGTAAACAAAAAGCCTAAAGAGGGACTTTAAGATCAGTCCACTCATAGATGGAAAGAAATAGATAGATAGATAGATAGATAGATAGATAGATAGATAGATAGATAGATAGATAGATAGATAGATAGATAGGTAGATAGGTAGGTAAATTTGGTCATTTTTTTAGTTATAAATGATAAGTACATGCTTCTAACTTTGAGTTAGAAGATCAGTTGTGTCAGATAAGAAGATGCTGCTGATGTTGCCTTAACAGTGGGGGAAAGAAACATGGAAATGTATGATGAAAGTAGATTTTTGTTAGTTATTGTGCACATAGATCAATAATTGCTGGCATGTTGTTTTGTGGTAGTCGTGACAGAACCAGCTGGGTCTTCGTAATGTCCTGGTACCGGTTCAGTGGATTCCTGCCTGTTTGGAAAGTCCGTTATCTCTCAGCATATTCATCAGCTTCGCCTAAATTGCATTTTCGTGTGTATTTTTGGACTCCTGGACTTTGAAAGACATGCGTCCAGCAAACGTGGCTCTCATCTCTAAACTCTCCCCCCTGCCTTCACAGAATACATCGTGGCCTTCACCGGCTACTTCTCGGCCAGAGCCCGCAGCCACTACATCAGCAGCGCCCTGCGCAGCTCCGCCGGCGGCCTGCTGGAGTGGCACATCGTCTCCAGGGAGAACCCGGCCTCCCACTTCCCCAGCGACTTTGAGCTGGTGCACATCCGCCAAGCCCCCCCCCGGCAGCCTGCTGACCTTAGAGGACCACCCCTACATCAAGAGGGTGACGCCCCAGCGCAAAGTGTTCCGCACCCTAAAGTACACCCCCGGTGAGTCTGGCGCTGAGGCGTCGCCGGGCGGGCTTCAGGCTCTCAGTGTGCTCAGGCTGGCTCGGCCCCCCCCCCACACGGGGTCGGCCCCAGAAAGACCCAGGAGGCCGCCCACAGAGCGCCTCTTTGTCCGGCTGAGGGCGCTTTGCTCTGCTGTGGGTGTGTGCTGCAGCCGGGGGCTGTGTGTCTTTATGAGGAAGGGGTGGGGGGGTACAGAGAGAGTCTGTTTGCTCCCCCAGGCAGGGAGCTGGTGAGTCAGTGTGACCTGAATGGGGGGGGGTCACAAAGTCTGACACAGTTTGACCGTTTGGTCCATGATTTCACTTTAAATGAGACTTCCCTAAAAGAGATAGATAGATAGATAGATAGATAGATAGATAGATAGATAGATAGATTGACAAAGGGAAAGTTGTTCATTTTTCGAGTTCGAAAAATTATCCAGGTCAAGCTTAAAAGTCCAGTTCAGGCAGCAGGATGTGAAGTTTTCTATTAGATGTTTGGCTTCTGATCCATGAAGATTCTTCAGCTCTAACTGATGGTGGAGCTCTGAGGTTAATATAAATAATGTATAACAACCACCCAGGGAGCTAAGGCTTACTTACAGGCAGCGGGTGTGAGCATCCCGGTGCACTGTGTGGAGTCACTGGAGGCTGGTGGTCATAAACCGGACGTCCAGCTTAAATAGAACTACAGTTCTCCTGGTCTGTTTATGGACCTCAGAACGACAGTCGTTTTCTGTGGAGCTGTAGCTTGTAAACGGGGTTGGGGATGTTGTAAAAGGATGTTATCATGAGCTTTATCAGTTGCCCCGCCCACGGCTGGTTCTGATTGGCTGCACCCAGCCATAGATAGCAGGATGTGTTTGGCATCCTTATCAAATAGGACATTCAGCCAGAATCAAAGCCTCCGAGTCCGAGGAAAAAGACCCAACAACTAAAAGAAACTACTAATGATTAAATAAATATTTATTTAAATCCTAAATGCTGCAGAAATAACTAATTAAAATAATAATAATAAAAATCCTAAATGCTGCAGAATTAACTAATTGAAATAATAACAATTCAAATTTTAAGTGCTGCACAATTAACTAATTAAAATAATAGCAATTAAAATCCTAAATGCTGCAGAAATGACTGACAATTAAAATAATGATAATTAAAGTCATAAAATCTTCTGAAATAAGTAATAATAAATTGATAATAACTAAAGTCCTAACTCCGATCCCCCTCTTTTCTGCTCCTCCCTTCAGCCCCAGAAGCTGCCGCTGCGCCCTGCAACGCCTCGGCGGGGAGCCCCAGGTGGCCGTCCTGGCAGTCGTCCCGGCCGTTCAGGAGGAGCAGCCTGTCTCTGGGATCCGGCTTCTGGCACGCCACCGGCCGCCACTCCAGCCGGCGCCTGCTGCGCGCCATCCCCCGCCACGTGGCCCAGATCCTGCAGGCCGACGTGCTGTGGCAGATGGGACACACCGGTGAGGAGGAGCGCTTAGGGGGGGTGCAGCTCGCCTTTTAACGCATGCTAGCAGGGCTGCACCACGCTTAAAGGGACACTGTGTAGTATTTTAAGTATTTTATTAGCTAAAACCATGTTCTCCCTTTATAAATGTGTCCTCATTTGGTGTAAAATGACCTCTGCAATGATCTGACTTCTCCTCATAAGTGAAGAATTTCCTATCTGTATATAAATAAGACGGGTAAGTCCAGGGAGGTTTCCATGGCGACCCGCCATTTTGAAAAACTTTAATGGCAGAGAGGGACATAAAGCACTAGTCTGCCTGTCTAGGCTAGTAATGCTAAGTCACATACAAAAAAACAAGCTAACATGGCAACGTAATTCGCCCTCTTGTTCGAGGAGGAATTACATGGGTTAGGGTTAGTTAGGGTTAATGATTCAGTGCAGTTTGTAATTTCTTTTAAATTACAAACCTCATCACCAGAGAAAACTCCATGATGTGGAAGTCATGTTGTCATGACTTCTCGATGCCTGACGGCTACCGTAGCTGTAATACCCATTTGAAAATAGAGGCGCTAGAGAGCAGATTTGTTAGGATGCGGAATACAGTTTCACCCTTAGATGGAGAAATTCCTACACCGGGAAGCTTTAAGACAATCTGGACTGTTATCAGGTATTGTTCCAAGGTGGTTGAACGACCTGTCGGTCTTCATAAACTCCTAAAGACCCCCCTCTCCACAGAGCAGCTCTTATCCTAACTCCTTCCGAGACCCCTGTATCCTCTTCCCCCTTTTTCTCTTCCCTCCATCTCCTTCTGTCTCCACTGACTGACTGGGGATTTTCCTCCAGAGATCTGATTGTCAGATTGATGAGAACTGGAACATTGTCTGCTTTAAATGCATAAACAGAACCACACACACAGGCCAGCCGAAGGCCGGTGGGGGCTGATGCTCCCCCCCCTGAGGCTGACCGTGGCCCTCCCTCTGTGCAGGCTCGGGCGTGAAGGTGGCCGTGTTCGACACCGGCCTGAGTGAAAAGCACCCGCATTTCAAGAACGTGAAGGAAAGGACCAACTGGACCAATGAAAAGACGCTGGACGATGGTGAGAGCCCCCCCCAGAGTGACTGCTAGCTGACGAGTTCCTGTGGTCACGATGAGGGACTGAGGGACAATAAAAAGCCCGAACACTGTTCAGTTTAGATAAGCGTTATCTCAGGCTGTAAAGGCCGACTGAATCCTCCTACCTGGTCCACAGGCACCGCTCCCCTCTGGAGCTCGTAGAAACATTTAATACTCTAATATATTAGAGATTTCTATTTTTAGTTAATCTTTGATAAATTTCTGTGGCTCAGCAGCAAAGAGCAGATTTAAACGGTTGATTTTAGGACCAGATTTGAGGACCCTGATTGGAGGGCCATCTGGTGAGTGTGTGTGTGTGTGTTAATGCTGAAAGTCGTACAGTGTAAAGCTTTGAGGGGTCAGTTGGACTGGAAAAGTTCTTTATAAGTGCGGGTACATTTACATTTAATACGGTGAATCTCTTCCTAATGTTAGGTGTTTGTCTTAGTTTGCTCGTTAGTTGTTGGTACACTTTGTTTTTGTGTGCGACGGTGTGGAGCCGGGAGTGGAAGCGGGTTTAAAGCGTGCTGTCCTGTTTTCAGGCCTGGGCCACGGCACATTCGTGGCAGGCGTCATAGCCAGTATGAGGGAGTGCCAGGGCTTCGCCCCCGATTCCGAGCTGCACATCTTCAGAGTGTTCACCAACAACCAGGTAGGACGCACACTCACTGTGTGGAAAATAACCAGAAATGCTGAGCTAAGGCATCGGGTTCTGGTCTCAGGTTTGGTTTGAATGCGCCCTGATGCATTAGTGTCGTCTGTTTCCCGCCCTGCAGGTGTCGTACACCTCCTGGTTCCTGGATGCTTTCAACTACGCCATCCTGAAGAAGATCGATGTCCTGAACCTCAGCATCGGGGGTCCAGACTTCATGGACCATCCCTTTGTGGATAAGGTGGCTCCTCCTTGGTCTAATTCAGTCAGAAATTCATCTGGGTGCTGATCAACCACCAGCCTGACGCTATCCGGGTCATAGAAGTAGCTCTTAAAGCAGCTCTGCCTCCCTTCTGACCCACAGCCGTTAGGATTTTCCAGCACCTCAGATGAAGCAAACCTGTGAGGGTTTAGTTAAACCACTAAAAACCTCTGACTCTCTTCTGTTTGTGGGTGTGACCGGCAGGTGTGGGAGCTCACAGCCAACAAAGTCATCATGGTGTCGGCCATCGGCAACGACGGACCTCTGTACGGGTATGTGGGTCTCTCTGCTTCCAGACAGATGAAGTTTAGTTGCCAGATAAAGTTTAGCGCGGCAGCTAAGACCAGAAGCCGGGCCTTTGTCCGTTTGTTGTTATGAGCTATGGGTTAGTGGGCTGGGTTGAACAGAGCCGGTCGGGCATCAGGTCAGGATGCATTCCTGCTGCCTCCCTGGGGTGTTGTCGCCGACGTGCCCCGACTGGAGGAGCTCCTACAGAGGCGGGGGGGGGCTTTGCTACATACACTGCCCGGTCTGACACGCAGTTAATGTAAGATCCAAAAAGCTTTCTTAATCCTGAGGGAAAACTGCTTGAGATACAAAGGTGAAAGGAGATAAATAAATTAGCTAAAGTCGTGGACAATTGTTTAAAGTGAGGAGCGCAAAATTATAGCAGCATTTTAAAATACAAAAAACAAGTAATTACAGAGAAATATAAATGATAGGTGACTAGTAATAAAGTGATAAGTGACACCACACAGTATCTAGACTGTCCCTGTCTGGGCTACAGGTGGTTCAGTTAAACAGTCTGCTGTCTGCCAACATTTAGGATTTAATTGTTATTTTAATTATTATTTATTTCTGCAGCATTTACAATTTTTATTATTATTATTTTAATTATTAGTTATCTCTGCAGCATTTAGTATTTTGATTATTTGTTGTTGCTGTATTATTTAGGATTTTAACTTGTTTTTAGACTGTAAAGTTTGAGCACAATTAGCAGAAAGCTCTGTTTTTCTGAAAGTGCTGAAGTTTACAGTCCGTTGAGATGAATCAGCCTCTTTACGCCCTGCGTCCTGGTTTCAGCACCCTGAACAATCCAGCTGATCAGATGGACGTGATCGGAGTCGGAGGGATCGACTTTGAAGACAACATAGCAAGATTTTCCTCCAGAGGCATGACCACCTGGGTGAGCCGGACAGCCTGTCCTCAGTCTGCTCACTTCTGTTTTTCAGTCCGATTAAGACTTTTCTGAAAAGTTTTTTTTTTTTTTTTTTTTTACCTCCAGAGCACACTTAGTTCTTTGGATGTTTCAGTTTTGTTGTTATTAGAACTGCCCCCTGATCAGTAATCAGAGAGGGAGGCTCAGATGAAACGGCTCCTTTCCTGTTTGTTCAGGAGCTGGCAGCATGTGTTTCTGAGGCCAGTCAGTGAAAGCTGCAGCCTCAAAGTCTGAGCGGAGCAGCCGGCATGCGTCCGGTTCCGGTTCAGCTGAAAGAGAAAGAGCCCAGCTGCCGTCCACAGGCTCCCTGCTGGGCCTCAGGCTCCAGAACCAGGGGACTAATCTGGGAGGCTCGGCTATGACCTGAAACTAAACCGATCGGTTCAATTCCTCAGTACTTTGGCGACTAATCGGTATATCTGTCAACAAAAAGATGAAGAGCAGGCGTTTGACTCCTAGGAGGAGATTCCAGGTCTGTGTGCGAGTCCTCCACCCGGTCTCCTTGAGTTGTGATGAACAGATTTACATAAATAGAGAAACACAGAACAGACTAAATTTAGAGCAGTCGGCCCAGAATTAGTGGAGCTTAATAAACCCCTTTCCTCTGAAAAGGAGGCACCCCATAAATGCATGTGGAGAAATCAGCAGGCTACCGAGCGTTTTGGAAATGTCTCAGTGATGTAATTTGCTTTCAAAACCGGGTCAGCGACTGGAAAAAAGGGATTGAAAATATGGGTCAAAGTGGATGATTCACAGGATGTTTCCAGAGATCCAAAGTGTTTTTCTGTGGCCCTGAACCTTCCCTCTATGTCCAGGAGCTGCCAGGGGGTTACGGCCGAGTCAAGCCCGACATCGTCACCTACGGCTCGGGCGTGCGGGGCTCCGGCATGAAGGAGGGATGCCGCTCGCTGTCGGGCACCAGCGTGGCCTCCCCCGTGGTGGCAGGCGCCGTCACGCTGCTGGCCAGGTCAGGACGGGCGGGGGGGCTCAGGAAGCCTGTTTGCAGGACAGGCGCACGTGTGCAGAGACGCTGTGGAGTCTCAGTACAGTAGAACCTCCACATACAAATTTAACTGGTTCCAGGACCTACTTCCTATGTTAAAATATTAATATGTTGGTTCAAATATTCCCATCAGAATACACTGTAATTGGTATAATTGGTTCCACAGCCCAAAAACCTACGATAACTCCTTAATAAATACTGCAGATAATTACACATAGCAATAAAACAAATGCATTATATAAGAGAGATGTAAAAAGAAATTGATTATAAAGAAATAATCAATAAAAAGGGACTGAGATACAGGACGTAACTTTCACTACCTGAACTTTAAACTAACTTTGCTTATTTATTTTTATAAAATTTTTACATTTTATTATTTTTATTCTACGACTTCAACGTCATATGTTGGAAATTGATCGTAGATAGAGCCTCTGCTGTACTGAGAGCATGTTTGTGCTCTGCTGGTGAGTCCCATGTGCCTTCAGATGCCCTCTGGGGCTCGGCTCTCCCTCTGAGTGCGGCTGCTGCTGTTGTCCTGCGAAGGCTTTGACATCAGAGGACACATGTAGTCCAGCGCTGAGGCTCCCCGGTTTAATTACCTCTGGGTTTGTAATCCGACGCGAGCCGGTGGAGGAATGCCTCCCAGAGGACGGAGGCGTGCCGCTGATTAATGCCTGGTGTTATTCCCCGTCTGTCGATACGCCCTGAAAGCCTTTAGCAGAGCTGCAGCCGGGCTGATTTGTTGCTGCATTAAGCCTCGCACGGACAGCTCACTCAAACCCTCTGCCCCCCCCCCCCTCTGTCCACAGCACCGTCCTGAACCGGGAGCTGGTGAACCCGGCCTCCATGAAGCAGGCTCTGATCGCCTCGGCCCGCAGGCTGCCCGGGGTCAACATGTTTGAGCAGGGCCACGGGAAACTGGACCTGATCCGGGCCTACCAGGTCCTGAACAGCTACAGGCCTCAGGCAAGGTGAGCGTCTCTGCTAACAGGGCAGGCAGCAAACAGGAGCCGGCAGACACACCCCAAAGTGAACTGTGGAGGAGACCCGCCCATAGAAAACACATACAAACATATAAAACACATAAAAGGCATACAAGACATATAAAAAACACGTAAAACGCAGGAAAAACGCAAACCATATCAAATTGATACAGAAACACATACAAACACATTAAAAAACATATAAAACACAGAAAAACATACAAACACATCAAAATGCATAAAACACATACAAAACGTATACAAAAATGTACACAAATACGTACAAAAACGCATACAAATACACATAAAAACACAAAACATGAAACAGATACAGAAAAACATACAGAACACAGATATCATGCACAGATTTTAGAAGCCATATTTTCTTAATAATGTCTCAATAATCCCCTCTAATTAACCTCTAACTGCTCCCCCCAGCCTGTCTCCCAGCTACATCGACCTGACGGAGTGTCCCTACATGTGGCCCTACTGCTCGCAGCCCATCTACTACGGGGGCATGCCCACCATCGTCAACGTCACCATCCTCAACGGCATGGGGGTCACCGGCAGGATAGTGGACAAGGTGAGCTGCCCCAGGAGGCTCTGCCCCCCCCCCCTCTGTGGAGCGAGGCTCACCGTGTGCTCTCCTCTCCCCCCTCCAGCCCATCTGGCAGCCGTACCTCCCGCAGAACGGCGACCACATGGACGTGGCCATCTCCTACTCCCCCGTGCTGTGGCCGTGGGCCGGATACCTGGCCGTGTCCATCTCCGTGGCCAAGAAGGCCGCGTCCTGGGAGGGCGTGGCCCAGGGCCACGTGATGGTGACGGTGGCCTCGCCCGCCGAGAACGACGTGAGCTCGCTTTTGCCAAGCTGATTCAGCCCTGTGTGTGTGTGTGTGTGTGTGTGTGTGTGTGTGTGTGTGTGTGTGTGTTATGGAGGCTGGGGGGGATTCTGAGATTTAGAGATGTGCAAATCCCAGCCTGGATACCAGATGTGTCCAGTTTTTCTGTGGACACAGGCTGCTTTTTCAGTAATTTCCAACCCGTCTGCGTACTGGAAACAGACCCCTCTTTTTTTAGCTATTGGACAAATTAAATACCTGATTTTAAACCTGATTTGAGCTGAATTTGCTGCAGTGGAAGAATTTTCTAAATTTGGAAGGCCTAGGAACTGGATTTGACATTCAAAGCAGTCAACTTTCGGCTTCCTGAAGGTCTTTCAGAGTTTTTCTTTGGACACAGGGTGCTTTTTTTTAGACATTCTCAACCAGTCTGTGTTCTGGAAACAGAGCCCTAACTCAAGGGATGAGGCAGTGAGGACAGAGGAGGGAGCCAAAGGCAGCAGCAGCATCCAGAGCAGAGACGATAGAACTGCTCCTGGAGACTCCTTAAAAAAAGGAGCTGCTGGAGAGGCTCCAGAATAAAGGAGCTCAGAGCAGAGAGGAGTCTTTCAGCTGCCTAAAACTGGCACAAATGTCTCTCCGCTGAGACACCATAAGTCTGTTCCCTCTTTGCAGTCGGAGGTCGGAGGGGAGCTGACGTCCACAGTCAAACTGCCCATCAAGGTGAAGATCGTGCCCACGCCGCCCCGCAGCAAGCGAGTGCTGTGGGACCAGTACCACAACCTGCGCTACCCGCCGGGCTACTTCCCCCGAGACAACCTGCGCATGAAGAACGACCCGCTGGACTGGTGGGTTTGGCTCCGCCCTCCACCCTCAGCCCGCCGCCGCCGGCTGGGGGCGGGGCTGAGCGTGTCCTGTCTGTCCCCAGGAACGGAGACCACATCCACACCAACTTCAGGGACATGTACCAGCACCTGAGGAGCATGGGCTACTTCGTGGAGGTGCTGGGGGCCCCCATCACGTGCTTCGATGCCAGCCAGTACGGTAGGAGAGCAGAGAGCAGAGGGGCGGAGCCAGCCAACAGCCGGAGGCCCAGGCTTTAATGGTTGACCGCCCCCCCTGCCCCCCCGCAGGCACGCTGCTGATGGTGGACAGCGAGGAAGAGTACTTCCCAGAGGAGATCACCAAGCTGAGGAGAGACATCGACAACGGGCTGTCGCTCATCGTCTTCAGCGACTGGTACAACACCTCAGTGATGAGGAAGGTCAAGTTCTACGACGAGAACACCAGGTAGGAGGCTGCCGCCGGCCGGTCCGAGACCCGATCGGAGGCCAGTCAGAAGCCAATCAGAGGCCAGTCTGCAGACTGGTCAGAGGCCGGTCCGAGCCCCAATCAGAGGCCAGTCAGAGGCCAGTCCGAGGCTGAGCCACTCTGGGCCAAACACGGCGTGAAGCGCTCAGCTTTTGGGCGCCGCAGAAGCTGGGCAGCTTTCTGGGCTCTGATTGGCTGACTGGCCTCCTCCCTGTATCTGTATTTATTATCGCGCCTCTGCTCCACACCTGGTCGTATTTCAGCCCCTGAAACCGTTCGCCTCCCATGAAGCACGACGGCCCCGCCGCCCCCCCATAGCCGCTCCTGTAAATCACAGACCTAATAAACGCTGAGAATAAAGATGTGCTGACTCCAAAGGCCGCGTGTGTTTTATGCTCCCGACTCCTTTTGGAGTGAGTTTGAATCTGCCGAGTCAGCGCTTCGCCCGCAGACAGCCGGAGAAAGGAGCGGGAGGCTTTTTGACGGATGGCGAGCAGCTCAAACTTTAGTTGGTTCGCTCGTCGCTGCGCCCTGATTGGCCAGGTCTGAGTCCAGGATTACCCACAAGATTCTTCACTTGATTTTTAGGTTCCAGAGAGAGTCTGAAGGTGACTTATGACACTTTCTTGGATGGGAGTTTAGTCTGGGTTTAGGGCCGAGTGTCAGCCATCCGTCAGGTGGCTGCTTTCAGCCGGAGCTTCATGGGGTTATAATGATGGCAGCTTTATTTATGCCTCCTGCTGCTGTAATGGCTGTCATACATCACAACTTTTCAGATTCAGAGCTCCTGGTGGGGAGATAACCGTTACTCAGCCGGCCCCATTCATTTCCCGCCCGAGCCGCCGCGGCCTCCGGAGAGCGGGAGGCTTTAAAAACGCCAGGATTCAGTCTGTAAGGCTGCCAAACATTATCGCCGAGCAATTTGGTTTTAACGGACTGGAAATGGGTCATTTTCTGTGGGAGCTGCTGTTTTGTTTTGGGCCAATCAAAGAGAGACTGAGCAGGAAAACCTTTTTTAATTGATTTATTGATTTATTTTTTCTATGACTTCGACGTTGGAAATTTACTTTGAGTTTCGAGTCGAATATTTGATCATATTTCACTTCGGATGTTGGATCGTAGGTAGAGCTTCTGCTGTACTTTGAGTTTTTTCCTTCTTTCCTATTGGTCCATCACGTAGTACTTTTTTGTTGTACTATTTACAGGTAACAGACACTGACAGCAGCCCTGTAAATGCCTTACTGCTTTCTTTTTTGGTTCTTCTGCTGTAACGTGTGGATATCCCCACTCTGGGGTCAGAAAGTCCTGATCTGATCTGTAATCTGTGTGCTCCCGCCTGCAGGCAATGGTGGATGCCGGACACGGGGGGCGCTAACGTCCCGGCTCTGAACGACCTGATCTCCGTGTGGGGGATGGCCTTCAGCGACGGGCTGTACGAGGGCGACTTCACTCTGGCCGATCATGACAGTAAGTCGGAGGCCCGGCGGTGAACCCCTGCTGAGCGCCGCCGGCCATTAAAGGGACATTGTGTAGTTTTATTAGCTAAAATAATTTTCTTCCTATATAAATGGGTCCTCATTTGGTGTAAAATTACCTCTTCAATGATCTGACTTATCATAAGTGAAGAATTTCCTATCTTTACATACACAGGACGGTTAAGTCCACAGATGTTTCCATGGCGATCCGCCCTTTTGAAAAACTATAATGGCAGAGAGGGACATAAAGCACTAGTCTGCCGTTCTAGCTAATCCACAACACGTTTTCCTTCAGAGTAACGTGACTGAAATATCTTTTAAAACAATTAAAACATTTTTTATTTTCCTTTCCATTCCAAACCTCATAACCAGAGTAAACTCCGTGACGTGGAAGTCATGCTGTCATTACTTCTTGATGCATGATGGCTACCGTAACTGTAATACCCATTTGAAAATTGAGGCGCTGGAGAGCAGATTTTTTAGGATGCAGAATATAGTTTCACCGTCAGATGGAGGAATTCCTGCACCATGTCCCTTTAAACGCCTCTCTCCCTCAGTGTACTACGCCTCGGGCTGCAGCATCGCCCGCTTCCCAGAAGACGGGATCGTCATCGCCAAGAACCTGAAGGACCAGGGTAAAGCTAACGCTAAAGCTAACGCTAACTCCGCCTCTCTGCCCGTCTGAGCGCTCTGACAGTGGCTGGCCTGTGCTGCCTTTACAGGCCTGGAGGTGTTGAAGCAGGAGACGGCCGTCGTGGAGGGCGTTCCCATCCTCGGACTGTACCAAACGCCCTCGGACGGGGGGGGTCGCATCGCCCTGTATGGGGATTCGAACTGCATAGACGACAGCCACAGGCAGAAAGGTGCCGCCCCCAGGCTCCTCCTCCTCCCAGGCCAGCCGGGTTTGGCCCTTCTCTGCCCCCTTGCTCATGTGTCGGCCTCTCTCTGTGTTCCCGTAGACTGTTTTTGGCTCCTGGATGCCCTGCTGCAGTACACCTCCTACAGCATGACCCCGCCCAGCCTCAGCCACTCCCACAGCAGGGTGGCCCCCCCCACGGGGGCAGACCGTCCGCTGCCACAGAGGCTGGAAGGTACTGAGAGATGAACCCCCCCCCCCCTACTGATTCCTCAATCTTTAGTCTAGTTTATAAAGGAAAAAAACAGACATTTGCACAAATTATTCTCTATGTATTTTCAAATAAACGCAGGTTTGCCTGTGAGATAAAAGGGAAACACGGACTCTTGAAAGGGTTCAAAAGGGTTCAAACTTCATCTCAGTGGGAGGGTTGTAGGAAGTGGGTGCTTTGTGGAGTGTAGCAGGTTTTACAGAAGCTCAGGTTTCTATTGTTGTCTAGTGGGAGGATGTCTGGATTCAGGGTCTGTTTTTGGATGACGGGTTATTTGCCGGATGGCAGACTGTGCCTAACGCCGTCTGTCCTCCTCCAGGAAACCACCTCTACCGCTACTCCAAGGTTCTGGAGGCCCACCTGGGGGACCCGAAGCCCCGCCCCCTGCCCGCCTGCCCCCACCTGTCCTGGGCCAAGCCGCAGCCCCTCAACGAGACGGCGCCCAGGTGAGCGAGCCGAGCCCGAGCTGCTGGGGGGGGGCTCTGAGTCCTGGGGGGCAGGGGGGGGGGAAAGCATCTCACATCTGGACTCTGCTCTGTCCGCAGCAACCTGTGGAAGCACCAGAAGCTGCTCTCGGTGGACCTGGACAAGGTGGCGCTGCCCAACATGAAGGCCTACCGGCCCCAGGTCAGGCCTCTGTCCCCGGGGGAGAGCGGGGCCTGGGACATCCCCGGAGGTAACAGCCCCCATGACCCTGCTTTACTTCTGATGCACCATCCTCCTCATCATCACTTATGGATCAGATCTATAGGATTTGACGTTTGGACATGTTTGTTTTCTGTGTGTTGAATGGTCTTACACGGTCTAAATTAGCTTTCTAGAAGAAGTTTGGCCTCTGATCCAAGAAGCTTCTTCAGCTCTAACTGATGGTGAACCTGACTCTGCATTTTTATTCATTGTTTTGCTGCTCCTTTTTTTTTTTTTTTTTTTTTTTCTTCTTTCACTTATTTTTGGCCGTTTAGGGACCAGAGCCACCTTTGGTTTCCCCTAATAATTAGCTCCACCTACAGTATATTGACCTCAGAGCTCCACCATCAGTTAGAGCTGAAGAAGCTTCTGGATCAGAGGCCAAACGTCTAATAGAAAAGTTGCCTAAACTGCACTTTTCAGGCTTGATAAGGATGATGAGGATCCTCACAGACGTCTGTTCTCTAAACATGAAAAAGGGCATTTGTCACAGTTGATTAGACTCACTCCACCACAGCTGGCTGAGGCCTTGAGAGGGACTCGGCACACTTAGACACCATGTGACCCTCAGCTCTGTCCCCCCCCCCTCAGGGATAATGCCGGGCCGCTACAACCAGGAGGTGGGCCAGACCATCCCCGTCTTTGCCTTCCTGGGGGCCATGGTGGTGCTGTCCTTCTTCGTGGTCCAGCTCACCAAAGCCAAGAGCAAACCCAAACGCAGGAAGCCGCGCATCAAGCGCCCCACCTACCTGCAGCAGCAGCAGGCGGCGGCGGGGGGGGGCAAGGCGCCCGCCGTCTGAGCGCCGTCTGGACGCCACCGCCCCGGTCCTGTGCCTCTTTGTGTGGACCAATGGACAGAAAACACACACCTGGACCTGAACACGCCCCCGCCCACCCCCCCTCCTCCTTTACGACCAAACGCCTTCTTTACTAATGAACATCTGACTTTAATATTTATTGAATTTGTTTGTACAGCCGGAGGGCAGCCGGGTCAAAGGTCAGGCGGAGTCCGCTGCGGGGTGATCCTGAGTCGTGCCCACCTCTGTGTCTTTTCATTGTTTTTATATTTTCTATGATGAACGGCCTGCGCAGGCCGGCTGCCGCTCACTCAGTGTCGCCCACGGACTCCCCAGATATATCTCATCCATTAAAAAGCATTACCAAAGTTCCCTGGGCTGCTTTCTTCAGGAAAATGGTCAAAGGTAAGGCCACATGTTTGGTTTTGAACCAGATTTTAACAGTAAATCTGAGGACAAAGGCTTTGAGTTAATAATCATAGATAATACGTTTTATTAGAAGGTGCCTTTCTCGACACTCGAGGACAAAGATACACAAAAATGCATTAAAAGAAACAACAATAAAGATCAATAAAATAGACAGAGGCAATGGCCATATCAATAGGCCTCAGAATGAAAAGGCCATCTTAAACAGATGTATTTTGAGTTGTGATTAAATTTGGTGCAGCAAGTCCATCTGAGAAGATTTTGAATATTTTCCCTCATTTTTTAGCTTCATATGATCCAGTCATGTCAGTCCTAAAAGGCAAGAGATTGTAGATTTTTTTCCTCTCTAAAGCAGGAAGCACAAACGTTCAGCGTTTGAAGCAGAACCCATCCGATGGTTACAGGTATTAACCCTAAACTGGTTCAGTTCCCCGGCAGCTGCTGGGAGGTGAGCTGAGCAAAAGGAGGAGACCGGCCTGTGACTCTGCATCTGTCCGTTAAAATTCTTTCTGTGATCAGAGGGCGGGTGGGCCCCCCCCCCCCCCCCCCCCCCCCCCTCGGGGTCAGGGGAGGCTGTGGGCTGAATCCAGCGATGCGGGCTGATTTCATTAGAGGCGATGTGTGCCGGTGTGCTCAGAGTCTGAGCTTTGGCTCCTTATCTGAGCCTAAGCACCAGATCGGCCTGTGAATCTGTCACCTGTCCGCCTGGATGACGGCACCACTCGCCGGCTAATCTCCGCCGGACCTTGGGAAACTGGGAAATGACCCCGGAGCCAGCTAGTCCCGCTAACAAGATTTGGGAAAGCCGGTGGTGAGTGGAGGTCACATGCCCTCTTTCCCTCCGAGGTTCCCAGATGGAGGGACTTCCTTTTCGGCCAACCAGGTCACCTGGAAGGAACAAGGCGGCGGCGGGGAGCTGAATTCTTCTGTCCCATGAGGCTGTCCTGTACCACTCGTCCTGCTCACATGTCCCACAGCCAGCCGGTGGCCCGTCCGAGTTTTACAGTTTTTTTTTTTTTTTAGAGTTTCTCTGAGCCGAACAGAGTAAGAAGCGTCGGCTCTTTTCCAAGTTTTAGAGCTGAATCCAACAAAACTACGATCAAATTAAGCACAGATGAATAAATCTTGGCTGCTTCCACAGGAACTCACAGAGTTTGAGCAGCGAGTCTGAGCATCTCTGCACCATCTCTAGCAGCTCAGAGGTCAAAGGTCAGGGCAGCCTGAGCAGGTGGGTCCATTTGGGCTGGAGGAGAAAACTTAAGCTGGTAGCTGGGCTCAAGTCTGAACAAAGAATCACAGAAAGCAAACATTGCATTTAAACGCATCTCCAAAATCGCTTTCTTACTAAAAAATAAACAAATATTGTTGGATTTGAATTTAAGCTTAAGCCGAATTGTTAAGAATTATTTAAAACACGACTCGGCAGCAAAGCTGATTATTTAGAAAGTATTTTCATTATGTTTGTTTTTCCTTCTGCCTCCTCTCTTTCCCCTCAGAGCTGGAATCTGTTGCTCTCTCACGCACTGTACAGCAGGAAATTGATTCCTCCTCCCCACCTCCCCCCCTAATTTTCATCCATGAAATTAAAAATCAGAAACCCATTTTCAGAGGCCAACTCGAGCAACACTGACTGCTGCGTTTCTTCTCAGGCGTTTGTCGAGCACTCGTTTTTTTTCTGCAGAACGATGGACCGAAGGCGGCCGACAGCAAAACACGGCCAAAGCTTTGACAGAACAGCAAAACCTTTTCCTTTGTTCTCCGGCTTGCTTTTGCTATCAAAACAAGCAGAAAAGACAGAATGGGACCAGTTCCTGAGCTTCATCTCCTCTGCTGCCACTAGACCAGCAGCTTTCCCTAAAAGCTAAATGGGTTCACTTTGGTTATGGGGATGTGGTAGCACTAGACACTTAGGCTTTTCTGAGTAATCTGAGTAATCAGTTCACTCTCAGTTTTCCCCCTGAGGACGGTTTCTGCTCCTTCAGATGATGTTACAGGTGTAAAATGCCTGTATCAAACAATAATTGCCAAGGTTTATACTACAGGAGCCTAGATCAGTGAGGCCTTAAAACATCTGAGGAAACTGGACCAGTGGAGGACAGAAGAAGAAGAGCTGGGCCTGAAAAACTCTCTAATCCAGCAGATGAAGAGGACCTGAAAGTGAGGTCCTTCAGAAAGAGGAGCAGATCCAGCAGAGAGCTGAACAGGAGCTGAGAGCTGCATCTGGACCTCCAGCTGTCCATCTCCTGAAAGGACACACAGGGCTGGAGGATTAACTTTTCTCTGTTTTTATCTTTCTTTCCAGTTTTATGTTTGTCTATTCTTTGCTCTACACTTCACTGCATACATCCTGTGCTTTAAATCATTTATCCAAACAACAGTAACATTTATTTGAACATAAAACATTTAATTTAAAGCTCAAAAAAACGCAAATTGCACGATTTGCAAACTTCATCCGTAAAGGAAAGACGCAAAAAAGTTTAGTTTCCGAGCCGTGCTGGAAGGCAGCAGCTTCCCTCCCCTCTCCTCCCATCCCCTCCCACCCCCTCTCCTCTCCTCCCCTCCCCTCCCCTCCTCCCCCTCCAGCCGCCTCTCCCCGCGCCCCGGCCGGCCGCGGGTCCTCAGAGTGCCTCCTGGCGCACGCTGCGCTCCGCCGGCTGGATCATGGAGGAGTTGGCCCGAGAGAGCATCAGCCTGCTGGCTTCAGCCTCCGCCAAGCCGCCGCTGTACGCCGGGCCCCGGCTGGGCTCCACGGGGGCCGTCTTCATCATGCTGAAGTCCGCCCTGGGCGCCGGGCTGCTCAACTTCCCCTGGGCCTTCGAGAGAGCCGGGGGCGTGCGCAGCGCCGTGACCGTGGAGCTGGTGAGCGCGGCTCCGGACGCCCTGATCGTGGAGGTTTTTTCTGGCTCAGATCGGTCCAGATATGGACCTGCTCCAGCTGACCGGAGGGCCTTTTCCACTGATATTTACATTTCGTTTTCGATAAGGATTTAATCACCAGAGGAAGCGTCACAGGTTTCTGGCTGTTCTCCTCACTAACTTCCAGTCTGTAAACAGGTAGTTCAGATCAAATGTCCAATGCAAGCTGCTTAGAAATGGACAAATTCTGGGTTAGAGGTGGATCAAAGAGTTACCTCCCTCTATTTTCTGTGTGAGGAGCAGTCAGCTCCCCAGCTAATGGTATTTATAATCATTCATAATTCCATTTGGTGCCACTGAAGTGAAACCAGATAAAAGTTTCTGGGCAGGAGGGAAGTCTCCCTCCTGTTTGGAGGTCTTTTCCTCCTTCCTCAGCAGGCCTGTGCAGAGCTTTGAGGAGATCTAGTCCTTCACAACCAGCTGCCCAGAAGCAGGAAAACGCCTGAAACTGCAGCCTGAAGCGCCACGAAACGCTTCCCAGCTCAGATCGCTGCTCTAAAAGGAGGAAAAAACGCCAGCCTTTAACTTCAGACGCTTCCTGAGCAACCTGGGGGCTTAACAGCATCCTCCGTCCCCCGCGTGAGGAGGACCCCCCCTCCTAACCGGCCTCTCCCTCCCCAGATCTCGCTGGTCTTCCTGGTCAGCGGCCTGATCATCCTGGGCTACTCGTCCTCCATCAGTGGCGGGGCCACCTACCAGGCGGTGGTCAGACAGCTGTGCGGGCCGGCCATCGGCCAGCTGTGCGAGCTCTGCTTCGTCTTCAACCTCTTCATGATCTCCGTGGCCTTCCTGGTGGTGGTGGACGACCAGCTGGACAAGCGTGAGTCCCGGGGTGGCCCGCCCTGGCCCCCAGAGGCCGGAGCCAGCCCAGGTCAGGTCCCGCAGACGTCTGTAGGGACGCTGCTGACCAGTCAGCCTCCACCTGGAGCGTCCCAGTGCTGCTAGGTCTTTGGGAGGAGTCAGAGGGAGGTGTGGGGTTAGCAGTGTGGGCTCCTGTGTGGGCAGAGAGGGATGCAGATGTGTGTCTGGAGCTGGAGGACGGTGGGGCTGAGGTCCAAAGGCACAAGAGGGTCACTGTAAACAAGTTTTGCATTGTTTTCTTGTTTGTTTTTGACATCATTTTAGTTTTAATCTGCATATAACGGACCGGATAAATGATGAAAAATACATAGGCTAAATTTATGGTTAAAAACAGCAATAAAGTCCCAACTAAAGCTTCTAAACTGAAAGAGAAAATGATGTTTAGCATCATGCTAGCATCAATGGAAAACCAGTAAACTGTAATTGTCCTCAGTCCAGAACCGTCTGAGTTTCAAACCTGTTCTTTATCCAAAAAGAATAGATGAATCATGGAAACAGTAAGAAGTCTTAAGTTTGAGAGCAGATCTGTGGCTCTTCTGAGGTTCTGTGTAATGTGGGAGGTCTGAGCTCTGCTTCCCTCCTGGAGGCTCCTGTTTGGCCCTGGATGTCTCTGGAGGCTACTGGACGCTCCTGGATTCTTCTGGAGGCGCCTGGAGGCTTTTGGAGGGTCCTGGATTCTCCTGGAGGCTCCTGGATGCTTCTGGAGGGTCCTGGATTCTCCTGGAGACTCCTGGAGGCCTTTGGATGCCTCTCAGAGGCTCTTAACCTCCCCTCTGCCCCCCTCTGCTCCCCTCTGGCCAGCAGTGTGCGACTCCCTGTACGAGCTGCTGACCGGCCTGTCCCGGTCAGAGGTGCCCTACCAGCTGTACACTGACCAGCGCCTGGCCCTGCTGCTGCTCTGCCTCTTCCTCATCCTGCCCATGTCCGTCTCCAAGGAGATCAGCATCCAGAAGCACATCAGGTTAGAGAGCCGGCCGTTGCTTCGGATATTTTTTTTGCAGATCGGCAGCTTTAAGCCGCCGCCTTGCCGTCCTTCAGTTCTGTGGCATCCTGCTGTGAGTCTGTGTTTTGTGTCCCCTCAAAGCGTCCTGGGCACTCTGGCTGCGTCCTACCTGACGGTGGCCATCATGGTCCGGTACCACACGGCGCCGGCGGCCCGCAGCACGCCGCTGCACTCCGGCGGGTATGTGGAGAAGGTCTCATCAGACCCCATCAGGGTCCATGAGGACCCATCAGGCCCCAGCTGCAGCCTTTAGGAGGCACAGAGCCCCCTGAGCCGACAGTCTATTGGTTTCACAGCTTATCTGCTCAGAAATCAGCACTTTTTTTTGCTAAATCACTCTAAATGTGAGTTTTTTGGGGGGGAAATTGAAAACATTTTGGTTAAACTCCATTGGATTTTGGAAATAGACCGAATAATTAAATATCTTTTATTATTTGGCTTTTTGAAACTGGACTGAAACCAGTAAGGAGAACAAGCCGGTTCAGCAGCTGGAAAACGTGTCAAATGAACCCTTTCAACAATTAAAATGAAGCTGGAAAGCTTTGGGGCGGTTTCTGGGGAGCTAAACGCAGGTGTGTTCACCTTTGTGTGGCAGATTAGAGTTCCTCTTTGCTCTCCAAAGCTATCTGATGCGTCTGTTTTCTGCCTGTGGGCACCACAGGAGCCAGTTTTATGCTTCCAAACAAGCACTTACAGAGCTAACGGACCCAGTGAAAGTGGATTATTCCACTATTCAGAGAGGGGGACATGCATGGCCACGGACATTTAACGAGCTGGCTTTGATAAAAAACAAACCAGGTGAAGGTTCATTAAGTCTGGTTTAATAATCGATATGGGAGATGGTTTTGCATGCAGCTGCATTTTCTCAGCTCATCTGAAGGTTCGAAGTCCCAAACTGCTGCATGAGTTTGAATGCATTAAACTCGTCCTCATGACAGAAGTTCTGGGCTTTTTAAGCGGGCAAAACGAGCCGTTTGCTGTGAGTTCTGAGCCCTGCCGGATTGCTGGATGCGGCTAAGAGGCAGCTCTGATGCGGCAGCAGATGCCGGCGACCGGGCCATTAGGGGGATATGAGCTCCCCTGAAGACGCTCATGACCGACTCTCATTTCCGGTGGTTAGGAGTCGGGGGCTCCTGTGCAGATAAGCCAGAGTGTGGATCACACCTTCCACTGAAAAGTCGACTTTCCACAAAGAGAAACGAAACACTCATTCAGCAGAAAATGTCTGAGGAAAAGCAGAAGGCTCGGCCTTCTGGAAATCCTGCTTCAGTCCCCAAAGCCGGGCCTGTAACCCCCTCTGTGTGTGCAGGGCCGGATCCTGGGCCGCCGTCTTCAGCGTCGTGCCGACCATCTGCTTCGGTTTCCAGGTAAGTGACAGCTTCTCATTCTGGGTCTTACAGGCTCGTTCTGGGTCCTAAAGGCTCATTCTAGGTCCTTCTGGGTTCTACAGGCTCATTCTGGGTCCTACAGACTCATTCTGGGTCCTAAAGACTCATTCTGGGTCCTACAGGCTCATTCTGGGTCCTAAAGACTCATTCTGGGTTGTCCTCTCTGTGTTCCAGTGCCATGAGGCATCCATCGCCATCTACAGCAGCATGGAGAACCAGCGGCTGTCTCACTGGGCGCTGGTCTCAGTGCTGGCCATGGTCATCTGCCTCCTCATCTACACCCTCACAGGTCAGCCCCCCCCTCCCCGCCTTAAAGCCCCCCACCCCAGCCGTCCTCCAGCGCCCCCCCGCCCTCCCTCTGCTCTGTTCCAGGCGTGTACGGGTTCCTGACCTTCGGGAGGGAGCTGGCGCCGGACGTGCTGATGTCCTACAGCAGCCGGGACGTTCTGATGCTGGTGGCCCGGCTGCTGTTCGGGGTCTCCATCATCACCATCTACCCCATCACCGTGCTGCTGGGCAGGTCAGAAGTGTTTAAGAAGTGTTTATGATAACAGAGGATCTTTAATCAGGATTTATCACACAGTCAGTATTTAATGCAGCGTGTTTGATGGGTAAAGATGGACACAGAGTACCAAGTTTGTCCAGAGGCGGTCTGGGGACACAACAGGGTCAGTCTGCGTGCTGGTTGGACTCAAGGCTGGGAAAAGACTCCCCAAACTCTGAGGTCGTCTGGAGTCTCTATCTGATATTCATCCTTTGGTCTTATTATGTTTTATGTTTGTGCATTTAGACGCTTTTATTCAAACCTGTTTTTTTTTTTAGAGCTTTAAAGCTGTTTTTGGGGCTTTGAAACTGCTTTGAGGGCTTTTAAAGCTGTTTTGCGGCTTTAAAGCTATTTTTTGGGGCTTTTATGTTTCTGCATTAAGACGCTTTTATCCAAAGCAACTTACAAAGTAAACACAATGTTCCAGCTCTCAATAATCAGCAAGCACTTTGTAGGCCAGCATCAGGGACCTGAGTTTGATGCAGGTAACTAGGGGGTAATTGGGGGTAATCAGGGGTAACCGGGGGTAACCAGTGAATCTCAGGGAACAGATGGGGGATGTGAGACTTTTGGGGCTAATTTAAACCAGACGCGCCGCCGTGTTCCGGCTGACCTGTAGATCATTTGGTTGTCATTTTCAGACTGATGGAAAAAACTTCCAGATGCTGTTTTAGGGTCATAAATCTTTAACGCCCATCTCTGACCAGATCTGTGATCCAGGAGCCGCTCCTGAGCTGTTGGCGGCGGCGTGGCGGCGCGGCGGTGGCGGCGGAGGCGGCGGCCTTCGAGAGGCGCAGCCGCTGGCTGCTGACGGCGGCCTGGCTGGCGCTCACGCTGCTCATCGCCGTCTTCGTCCCCGACATCAGCAAAGTCATCAGCGTCATCGGGGGGATCAGCGCCTTCTTCATCTTCATCTTCCCAGGTGGCGTGCTGCTCGCTGGTGCCCGGAGGGGGCGGGGCTTAGCCCCCTATGGCTAAGGCCCCGCCCCCCTAAGGCTAAGGCCTGTGTCTGTGTGTGCAGGACTCTGCCTGGTGTTCGCCATGCAGACCCAGCCGGTCTCCTGCAGGACCAGGTGAGGAGAGGGGACAGAAATGTAGAAATGTGCTATCCGGCCCCCCAGTGGGAGGTTTGTCCCAAACCAGCAGCAGAATAAACCCCAGGTTGTAGCAGTTCTGCAGCCCAAATTAGGTTTTTAACACAAAAACAGATATGTTAGTCATTAAAAACATTTTGATGATAAGCGACATCATTATTTCTTGTTAAGATGTCAGATTCTGTTTATTTCCTGTCGTTCCCGAACAGAAATGAAAGTTTTAGTGGTCGAATGTTCTGCTTGATGCATTTCTGACTGAGTATGACACCACAACGAGACAAAAAATAACCACAGAGAAGCACGTTTATGTCAGGAAAAACTCAGAACCAAATTAAGACACAAATTAACAAGAAATAAGTAGGAAAAATTACACAATAGATCTATCGTAAAGACACAAAGCAGCCTTGAATGGTCATAAAATGACCACAAAGGGGGAAAATGACAAAAAAACACAAAGAAAAACAGCAGAAAAAGCCTCTGAAAGTTGGGTCAGGAGATCCAGATACTGATACACAGAAGTTTAACCCAGAGCAAGAACAGCTGGAAACTCTGAGGAACTCAATAACCAGAGAAACTGTCAGAGAGGAGAGAAAAACCAGCAGAGGAAGAATAGAAGCTGCTGTCGGAGCACAGAGATGAAGTTTAAGATGATTCTGAAGGAAAATGAACATTTAGCTGCTTCTGTTTGGGCTTTAACTCAGAACAAAACTATATTGTTTAGTTTCAAGCAGCTAAAGTGCTCTAATTAAAAGATAATTCACTGTATGAATGCATAAAGTATGATTAACAATGTTATAGTAAACCTGTTTTTTTGTTTTTCTCTGGGTCTGATGTTCAAACCAGTCATGAGAACAACGTTTTCTTCTAGTTTACTGCAGCTCTCAGCCTGCTGGTTCCAGATTAGTGGGGCTCAGTTTGATTCTGGGGGTAACTGTCTCCTGTCTTCCAGGGTGGCCCTCACCGCGTGGGGGGGGCTGACCCTGCTCTGTGGAGCCTTCATCTTCGGCCAGAGCACCACCATCGCCGTCCTGCAGCTGCTGGGACACATCTGAGCCCCCCCCCGGCCATCCAGATGTTCCCTCCGGCCATCCAGATGTTCCCTCCGGACGGCCGGCGCTCCGAGCCCAGGGCCTCCTGCCCTCTGCCTCATTTCTCAGGTTTTTTCTGTGGTTTCTCACCTGTTTTCCTCTCAGTCGAAGCCCAGCGGACGGGGAGGGAAGACTTACTGTAGATAGATCCTCGGCTGGATTTGTAAATGAAAAAAAAAAAAGCTGTGTTCTCACATTTGGATGCAAAACGTTCCCTTGGCGGCAGAAAGTGTCGCGTGAAGGAAAACCAAGCGATTAAATGTGTTTTTTTGTGTGAATCTGTGGTGGATCTGTGGTGATTTCCTCCCTCTGAGACGCTCTGGAGAACAGGACGATGCCCAAAATATAAAGACAAACCCCAGAGTTTTCACTTTTGTAGTTTTATTGAATTGCATCACTCTACATCATCTAGAATTTCACCAAGATATTTTTTAAAGACCAAATATAATACTTGCATCCCTGCAACGAGTCTCTACACTTGAAGAGAAAGCAGTTTTACTGAAACATACATTAAGAATTAATATTTCATTAAACATTGCCATAAAAGTGAAAGTTCATTCTTGTATGCTGTTTTTCTAGTCGTATATATTTCATATAATAGATTTTAGTCTCTGTCTCCTTCATAGCAATACTATAAATGGAAAAAAAAAAGAAGTTAAGAAATGCACAAAACCCATTGCGGAGTAGCTCGGCCTAACACTACAGCAAAGAAGTTACTGGACATTCAGTAGACATGCACTCGTTTGAAGGATAGAAAAGGACTCTTTCGTTTGTATGACGAAGCACAGGGTGCACTGAGGAGCGGGAGGATAGAAAAAGAACACAGTCTGTGGGACATTCAGGAATGTATCAGCAGGAAAAAACAGTGTTGGCTTCTCTGACGGGTCACTTATCGCCCGGCCTCCGGTGGAGATCCCGGGCCACTCCGGGGTCACTCTGAGGCCACTCCGGGGCTCTGGGCCAGCGGGCGGGAAACAGACTCATGCAGTATGGCTTCATGTGTTAGCAGTTTGGTAAAAAAAAAAGGGGTTTGCAGCCGTCCTGTGGACAGATTTGTTCGCAGCTCAGGGTGAGGTTTGGAGTGCTTCAGAGCTCCGTTTGTTTCTTAAATGTGGGGCAAAACAATCAAGTCGCCTCATTTTTAAATCCTATTTTTTTTTTTTTTTTAGAGAATTGATTTACTGACACATCCTCAAACAATACACTCCCTCCTCTGTCATCATTGCCTCATCCCTTGAGTTAGGGCTCTGTTTCCAGTACACAGACTGGTTGGAAATGCCTGAAAAAGCAGCCTGTGTCCACAGAAAAACTCTGAAAGACCTTCAGGGAGCCCGAAAGCCGACTGCTTTAACTGTCAAATGTTGTTGCCACGCCTTTAAAATTTAGAGAATTCTTCCACTCTAACAAATTGTGCTCAAATCAGGTTTAAAATCAGGTAATTTAATATGTCCAATAGCTAAAACTCAGTCTACTTTAGAGCTTTTACCACCAAAATGTGGATAAAACACTCCTTTGATATTTCATTCCTGTATTTTTGGGTTTCTCTGTCTTATTGATTACACTCATAAATCTGTTATCACCCCAAAAAGCTGCCGTTTACTGGCTGCTGGTCAAAATGTCCACAGGACGCCTGTGAGAAGCCCGATTAATTCATCTGTGTGGCCTCTTCCACACCGGCGGTCGGACCAGAGCCCAGAGCTCCACAGAGGGGAGCGGGTTAGCTTTGCACTATAGAAAACACCTTTTAAACCAGTAAACAGTCAAACCACGACTCTCTAAACACGCCGATCATAAACTGTCTGTAAGTCACAATACTCACTGCTTTTTACATTGTGCTTCTCCCGCCGGATTGTTTCTGAGGACAAACACAGCGGCCCACTTTCAGCCTTTTGGCGTTTGCCTTTTATCTCTAACTCTTTCTAATGACACCTTTTTTCTGTTGGAGGCAACAAACTGAGGATGGCTGGTGTATTTATGCAGGTTTTATAAGAAGGAGGTGATTTTAACAGGAGCTTTTTCAGACGATTTCAGGGCCTTTCTGCTAATACGATAATCCACACTTAGTATCGGGCGACTGAGCTCCATTTCCTGCTCTCATAATTGTATAAAAGAAGGGAAAAAGCTGCTTCTTTACAGAGTGCTGTGTGGACACAAGCCCTAAAACCAACCGAAGCTCCACCGTGACCTTCCTGTGAGTGGTGTCCCATCACTTTTGAACGTGTGTTGCTTGATGGGGCACAGAAACCGGGTCAGAAACCGTCACCACAGAGTGACTCTGAGGGGGCACTGCGAGGCAAAGCCGCCAGCAGAGGCTCGCTGTGGCAAACCAACAGCTCCCGGGAGGAAGAATCAGCCCTTTTCCAACGTTTCAGGAGCAAAACCTGCCTTTGAAAGGCTTTTCCGGATGTAAAAGAGGTCAAATTTCAAGCTAAAACACCCTGAAATTGAGAGGGAAAGTGGGACAGTCCTGCTTTTGATCCAGATGTGACAGAAACTTGGTGGGAAAAAGCAGAAAATGGCCACAAAGCGTAGGGGGAGTCTCATTTTTTAAATTGATCCTTTTTAAAAGTGAAAGTTCAGCTTCTAACAGAGGGCTTATTTTCCACCTGCTGAGTTTGGCCACCGGCATTTCATGATCAAAACGCCAACATTTGAGCAGCCAAACGCATCACTGGGCGGTTTTGACTGACTCACAAAAAAGATAATTAGCTTTATTGTGAGCTTTTCAATAATTTTCTGTCTTTTAGAGGGAAAATAAGTGGTGAAAACCGTCTGGCGCCATCAGTTGGTGGACACCTGACAGCTGCCTGACAGCGTCTGCATGTTTGTGTGTGAAATGATAGTTTTATCTCCGTTTTCTGTCCTCAACGGGAGCCTCGAAGCCGCTGGCTTCTCCTCGTGGTACCCCCCCCGCGCAGGTGATTCCCTCTTTACCGAGAATCTGCTTTCTGACGGCCCTGGCAGCCCCTCTGTGACGCGCTGATGTTTAAGGCTTCGTATTCAGGCGGGTTTTCTGTTACCGATGGCCTCCGTTTGATTCAAGCTAAGTGGGAAGAGAACCTCTAAAGCTGCTGCCACTTCTCAGCCAGGAAAAAACATTTGCACCATAGCACTAAAATATGTCAATAAATACAAATAGAATCAGAGTAGAACAACATTTTCTTATGTACAACCTCTACTGGACTTCCACAGATAACAGAAGCTTTCCAAAGCCGATTCAGACACAAACAGAAGGGAAAAAGGAACCCAGTCCCAAACAATCTGCTCTTCTCCTGTTAAAAAAAGCCTGATGTGACTGTTCAAAGTTTCTACTTCTGTCCGCAAAGTGTTCGGCTAACATAAAGAAGGGTGGTTGGAAAGCGTGGAGGCTTCAGACGTTACTCCCACAGCAGCCTGTGTTCATCCAGCCAACGCTCCGGCTGAGAAGACGACACCTCTGGGCTCTTTTTGCTGCTCCAAAATGAGATCTGAGCCTGTTTTATGTGACTGCGTTGCACCAAACGCGGCAGAGCTGGAAAACGGCTGTAAGAGGAACGTGTTTATCTCTGTTTGACTGGGAGAAACCTGCAGGCTTCACACCGGTGGAGTTATTCTGAGAGCTTCTCTCTGTTTCGGCCTTCGGGTCTTTCTGTTTTCAGGGCTTAAAAAAAGTCTAACTCAAGTGGATTTCTGCTGAAAAAAACTTTTACAACATGCACCAAAAACGGGGTGAAACCTTTTACAGGTGTTCAGAATTCTTCCTGAAACCGAATATCGAATCAGCACTGAGTCAAATTTGAATTTAATCGAAACAGGATACAAATTGCTCCACTTTCTGAAGTCCTACAGTCGAGTTAATGTCTTTTTCCCTTTTTACTGAAACCACTAATAAGACTCTTCTCAACCCTGTCTGAAGTGGGAATGGCCTCTTCTGTTGGAGCTTTGCTGACACATGTCGGATTGGACTCTGAATGGAGCGTGACGGTGGTTTCCCTCTGTGGCTCCTCAGCAGGAAGCAGCTCTACCAGCGTTACCAAAAACCTGCAGCTAAAATCCGTCTGCCAGGAACAGCTTCCAGGGATAAAAAACCCTTTGAATTTGGTGCAAAGTCATTCTGCATTAAGTCAAAATGACAAATGAACAGAACCCCCTTAAGTGCTTTAAAATGGTGCGTTCGCTGACCCTGGTTTGAGGCTCCGGCTCTGCCGTCGGCGCGGCGCTGAGTCAGCAAATGGCCTCCTGCGCTCGTCTACATTAGTTTGACTGAGCCTGTGATTGAAAAGGAGCGGAATCTGATTTCGAACAGGAGATTTTTGTTGGGGGGGAAAACAGCCTTTTCTGATCTCAATAAACACCTCACAGTCCACACATGGACAGTTTAAACTAATTAGAGAACTTAACAAAACATCCCAACAGGCCGTGGGTGATAACAGTTTTAACAATCTCGATTATTAAAGTCTCAAATGGGCAACAAGTTTGAAGTGTCTTGTTTTGAACGAATTGGACAATACATCATTCCTGCACGGGTTTATTTTCCTCTGCTTATCTTCTAAAGATACAGAGAGATACAAAGACGAATGGCACAGAGAGTTTCAGAATAAGCTTAAAAATTCTCCAGTTTTTAGCTCGTTTTGCCCACCGTGTGGACAAATGCCCTGCGCTGCCCCCAGTGGTCACGTGTATAACGCAGCTCTCTTGTCTTTGATTACAGGCAGCTGTGCTCCTCATCTCAAAGAGGAAAGGACTCCTAACTGGTGGATCAATCTGTTTGTTAGTGTTTGATGTGACGTTTGACAAAAAGTGGGAAAAATGGCTTTTATGAGATTTTCCCAGAGGATGCCCTGGTTCTAAAAGCTGCCCTCTTTTTCCTAAGCTAATATCATCCACCTAAGATCCCGGCCCGGGGAGGTGGGCACTAGGTGGACAGTTGTCAGAGGTTCACGTTTCTGTTTTTCCTGAGTTTGCATGTCGATCTGACAACGGATTCTGCTCAGAGGTGTGGTCTGCTCAGCGGGAGCTGAACGGCCGGGAGGAGCCGGGCTCGGCTTTTGTGGAGAGAAAAGAAGGGAACAAAAACGCTGCATTCATGAACAAACCCAAAGATTCGAAGCGCTACATGAAAAACTCAACCTCAGGGTTCCTGCTACATGACAACCCCCCCCCCCCCCGACTGGCGCAAAGCTACTTAAGACACGATAAAGATCCCAAATCCTGAACCGGCTAAACACAAAGGTGAGAGTCGCCCCGTTCGCTTCCCATCAGCTGATTTCCACTATGTAAACATGTACTTACAAAAAGAGGGGAGGGGTGTGAGGGCTGAGGGGGCAGGGGCAGGTCAGAGGGGAGGGGGGGGGGGGTAAAGAATAGTGGAGTGTCCAGGAGTCTTGGCGTGTAGTTGAGTGTCTTCATGCTCAGTCTCTGTTCACGCTGCACCAGGCCGCTAAAGAGAGAAACCACACGGGTGTTAGGATCCCCAGAGCAGCTGCCCTCACCCGATGAGACCCAAACCACTCTGACAGGGAGTTACGCACCCATCAGAGCCCCCTAACCACCATTAACCCCCCCAGGTGACCTCCATGGCCCCCAGCAGGAGGGACCAGAGCCACCTTTGGTTTCCTCTAATTCTTTAGTTCCAACTTCAGTGTATTAACCTGACTCTACATTTTTAATTCAATGTTTTGCTGCTTCTTTTATTTCTTTTTGGTTATTTGTTGCGTCTTTTACTTATTTTTGGTTATTTGTTGCTTCTTTTACTTATTTTTGGTTGTTTTCTTGCCTTTTCCACTTATTTTTGGTTGTTTATCTGCTTTCTCCACTTATTTTTCATAGTTTTTCTACTTCTTCAAACTATATTTTCATTGTTTTGCTTCTTCTTTTACTTCTTTTTCATTTTTTTCCTACTTCTTCAAACTGTATTTTCATTGTTTTGCTGCTTCTTTTTACTTCATTTTCATTTTTTTCTCCTTCTTCCACTTATTTTTGGTCATTTAGCTGCTAACAACCATCAACCCCCCCAGGTGACCTCCATGGCCCCCCAGCAGGAGGGACCAGAGCCACCTTTGGTTTTTCCCCTAATTCTTTAGTTCCACCTACAGTATCTTAACTCAGACCTCTACCATCAGTTAGAGCTGAAGAAGCTTCTTGGATCAGAGGAAAACTTCCCTTCCAGCTGCCTGAACTGGACTCTTAGAGCTGGACCTGGATGACTGAGGACCTCCACAGGTATTTCACTCACCTGGCACGGCCACGGTCGACACGGCCTCCGGCTGGCCCAGCGTGTCCACCTTCACATGCTGGAAGCTTTTGTTGGGGGCCGACTGGAGATGCCTGGAACCAGAGGAGAGGGTGAGAGGCGTCTGCGGAGCCCCCTCCGCTGCTCAGCCCGGCCCTCCAGTTACGGTAAGAGCTGAAATATTAATGGCAGCCGGCCGCAGGGAGCAGCGGGGCAGAAACAGATGAGCATCTTCCCCTCGGGTCCGCCGGCATAACTAAACGACGGCGGCGGAGGGGTTCCTCCGGCAGGCGCGTGGCAGTAATGGACAGAGAGCAGCATCTCTTTACTCGGCAATCAGTGATCGATAAGCGCGGGGGCAGGAGGCGGCACGCTGGGCTCCAAAAACCATCTCAGAGGAGCCAGAACGCTGACTCTGAGGTTTTCCCCACCAACATTAGAAACGTGCTCACTCAGTATTGACGTTTCATAACTCCTCAGGCATCGGGAATCGATGGCCTCGCTCTCAGTTGCAGATTTTTGCATCAAACAGATGGGAAAGGAGAACGATATGGACCCCCCGGAGCCCCCCCCTCACCTCTTCCACTCCTCCTCTCCATCCCAGAACTCGTAGATAACGAAGGACAGACCATCCGGCAGGCGCACTGCAGTCACACTGGAGCAGAGACAGAAAAGAGAGGTCGGATCTTCTGGAGGCTTCACACTTTTAATGGCTACTCAGTGTCCTCAGGTGCTGCATTCAAAGACCAAAGCTACACGGGAAAGATCTGGTCATGTGGAAAAGGGGTTTTAATAAGACAAAATACCCATCTGATCCAGAATAAACAGGAATGTGACTAATTTCAAAATGAAAACTAACCAGTTAAGTGAATAACAAGCTGCAAAGAGGGACTAGATTAATATATTTACCAAAATGTTAGCTCTATACCAAAGGCATACAGAAATAAAGAGTAACAATCAATGAATGAATCATTCAATTTGAATAAAACTCAGACCTTTTGTGTGGAAACAGCAGATTAAACACACACACAAAGATTCTCATTAATGGGGCTGATATTAAAGGGTCAAGGAAGTCAGATCTCTTGGGGTTATAAAGGTGAAATGCATTAATTATATTTATCTGAAAGGATCAAGGCTATTATCCTGAACATATTCTCAGCTCACTGGTTTCTCCTTTAAAAAAACAGAAAAGAAATAATTTAAATAAAAGTTTGGATCATTTAAAGAGCAAGTTATGAGAATTGTTGAATGGACTTTGCAGCCTAAAATATTGATGTTTGCAGCTCTAATGAAAATGGAGGCTTTGCTTCTTTAAAACTGTCGTCGTAGAAAAGTTTTTTGTGTTTGTGTGTGTGGAGTGAAACGGGCTGAGGGGGATTCTTTGTTTAAGAATAAAGAAGGGAGAGAAGTTTCAATGTCAGTGAGTCTGTGTTCGTTTAGTTTTCACCTCCTGCTTCTTTGCATTTTGTAATTAAAATGCAAAACTAGTTGTGTGGGTGGAGAGGATGAAATAGGATCAAAATCCCATGATAACACACTTGATGTTTATGTTCTGAACAATTAGATACACATTTATGTGTATCACAAAGGAAGCTGGATAAACTAATGGATTATGGACTGGAAAGGGAATTAAGCGTGTACAGACACAGACTTTCCCCCTTATTTTCTTTTCCCAGATTATTTCTTTTAACGTTGTCAACCAAAAAGAACGTTTTTTTCGCTTTCTTGTTTATTTTTCTACAACATTCAGCACATATTTAGAGTTTTAATACTGTTTTTTTAGAGTTTTTTCAGTTCATTTGGAGCGGAGTGAAGCGTGGATTGCTGCAGTTCCCCGGTGAGCCTGTAGGGGGCAGTAGGGGTCCTGCTGGTTACCTCACGTCCTCGCAGGGCTTCTGGAGCTCTGCTGGAGGGTGTAATAAGTGTTACTGCATGTAACCGCACGTGCACCCTCAAAGATAACGAGCATGGGAGCGGAGACGAAATGAAACTATAAATCACAGACAGTTCAGGAGGTTCAGATCCACGCAGGAGGAGAGACAAAGCCGAGGAGTGGTGCACGGAGGATGGGCCGTTTCACAAATAATGAGCAGGTTTCCTCCACCAGCAAAAGCTCTTTCCCTCATGATTGATTCAGATGAACTACAAACCCTCCGATACTGGTGATAAACCTGCTGAAACCAAGAAAAACCAGCAGCCAGATCACAGCAGGAGCCGTCCAGCTGCCAGCTGACCACAGCTAACAGGTCAATACTTGGTCGTCCTCCTGCAGAAAAGCCTGAACTCAGAAGTGAAGCTTTTTTTATCTGTGAGAGCAGCAGCTGTTGAATTTCCCACCGGAGCTGAAGTAAACAAAGGGTCAGTGGCGTTGTCTCAGTGGTAAACCTGTTTTCAGACGGCGTTTTTTCACAGCTAATGGCTTCCAACACAACAGGAACCTGGTCGGTGGTAGTGTAGGAGCCATTCTGTCCCCTTTAGACAGAAGAGAACAACCAGCTGCGGCTGGTGGAGATAAAAAGCCTCAGTGAAGAGTTTCCAGTAGCCAGGAGTCGTCTCATGAGGGACTCAGTGTTATATGAGGAGGCTGAAGTCCGAATTAGAAAAGCTGTAATGCAAAATGCAACAAAATAAAGAAAAAATCATCATGCTTATTGATGTTGTTTTAAAAAATTTGATCAGAATTTAGTATAAGGCAGCTGGATGACCCAGCCCAGTCTAAGCCAGTTAGGATCCAATCAAATCCAGTGAATGGAATTAATTCAGAACCAGAAAAAAAACAACAACAAATTGCTTTGAAACTTCACTTTGGGCCAGTCCTCCATTCTGAGTGCTTTATTACTCCTAAAAGGAGATAAATAAGAAGAAGGAGGGCCGCCCCGCCGGGGAATGGACCCCAGCGTGACAGCGGGGACTGAGTGACTGATCAGGAATCCTGAGGCCAGAGCAGGAAGTCATCCCTCACCCATCAGAAGTGGAGAGAACCAACTTTAAGAGGACTTTCTGTCCATTTGCAGTCCAGCTCAGCACCACCGTCTGGCTGTCGCAAAGTTCAGGAGAAGTTTGGTTTCTCACCGTTTAGTTCAGACTAACAACAGTTAGTTGTTTTGTTCTCTGACTTGTCAACATGCTGAGCAGCTTTACACTTTTAATCTTCCTGTTTTTCCCTCTTAGATCACCAGGCTGTCCACAACAGGTAAGAGTGTGTTTCCCTGTTTCCCCCTACTTTTTCTCTCTAAATCATCATTTAGGGCTGTTCAGATGTCCATCTGCCTCTGTCCCCTCTGCTTTTCACCCCCCTGCCCTAGTGGAATAAGTGCTACACAAAAAAGAAGGAGAGTCAGATCATTGAAGTCACGGCGGGCAGAGCCAGAATGTGACTGGACATTACACACAGCACATTAACTCTGGACTCCTCTCTCCCCCTGAGGCCCTGAGTGGGAGGCACAGGAGGTTTCTGATAGTCCCGGGCACCGTGTCCTGAACGCCGTATCAGGATTGGGTGATCTGAACCACCTGGGAGCTGCAGCTTTATCGGGCAGAGTGATGAAACGGAGCAGAGCTCCGTCTGCTTCCCCCTGAGCGATGGGATCTGAGGCCAGGGCGGGAAGCGTGTGAGGCGCTGAATAAAGTGCGAACTGCAGCGAGGTGGTGGCTCGGAAAATGGAGCGCGTTAAATATTCAGAAGGGTCAGGGTGCTGCGGCTGCTGTGTGTGAGGAGGTGAGGGGACTCACTGGAAGCAGTCCCTCTGGGCCGAGACGTTCTTCAGGTACTGCTTC